TGGTAGTGGAAAGAAACCAGGCTCAAGCGCGATTGCAGCACACTTGGCCGAAACCTGTCATATCATAGACAAGGAGCAAGCCTTCACCATCATATACCGGGTACATTTGAACCGATCACGACTGGTTCGATCCAAACTACTATCGATCGCAGAAGCGATTGGAATCCGACTGCTGCATCCACAACTTTGCATTCAAAAGAAACTTGTGTGACCTCTGAACTTGAACGGGCCTACGAAACATCCGATCCCACAAATCTGTCTGACATTGACGTCACTTACCTGATTCCGTGACCCATTGACCAATCCATCATCCAACCCCCCTTCCCTTTGATTTCTATTTCTCTAAAGTGTATGTAGCCCCGATCTTGGCCTTTTAAAACGTGATTTCTACTACAATAACTTTGTGATGTATTAGCCAAGAGGAGCAATCACAGAAAACAAGCGTTGTTCGCTACCTTCTTCGTTCTCATGAAAAACAGGTTTGTCTAGTGATTACCGCATACAGTAACGCCGAAAGCACTGAACCCAAGAAATCGAGGAAAAACGACTGACTTGGGCTTTCGCATAGTCGTAGCGATCTGGATGAAAGAACCGAAATCGTCGGAACGCGTTGGTCAGTGGTTTTTTGTGCAGTCTGGAGGCGAACCCATATGGACTTGTTCCCTCTGAGTCGCTAAAAAAATGAAAGGTAGAAAGAAGAGAAGACAATCCATCAGTGCAGATTAAAATGCGGCCTCGTGATCGGACTATGAAACCATATCGGACGACGAAGAAGAGCCAGACCTCTGCCTCTCGACTTCCCCTGTCCAGGCTTGGGTAACCAGGCAGTATTTCAGCCCTCGTGCATCCTTTGGGTGGCTTGGCAGCTAGGCACCAAAGGGTGTCACAGCTAAACGAGTACTCACAAAATGAATCAAGTGCGAACCCGACCGTGTTTGCAGCGTCCGTATGGAACGTGCTAAAAGATGTCTTACTCCTGTCACGTAGAAGAGGAGACTATAGCGGGAGTTCCACTGGGGCCCGGTGGATTCTCAACTGACAACCGTATTTCTGATCAAACGACACAGGGGCTCAGTGACTACATCATAAAATCGCAAGCGTTACTGTGGTATTGAGGGGTTTCACTCACTACCAGCAATTAGTACTTAGTGCTACCTAAAATGAGTATCTATGCTGGGCATCGGAAAACAAGAAGGTAAGTAAACGGGTGCATTGTGTACATGCAGCTGAACAGGTCCGTCTTGTACCGGGTAAGCAAACAACTGAGTCCCATGCCCAGTCATTCCACAAGCTGCTCTCTGATCGGTGGACACGCACTTGTGTAAACTAATCGGATAGGCAACTTCTCCAGATAAGCCCACCCCACATCCTGCCAGCTCCAATTTCAGGTACGCAAAACCAATGCGAACTTACATGTGCGAAAAGTTAAGCTCCGCCCCACATTTTGCCAGCTCCAATTTAATGTACGCACA